ATGCAAGGTGGAATTTGCATCGTGACCGGTGACTGAATTACATCTTATTTCTCCTGTACTAGAAAAAGCAATATGAATGAAATGAATGACTTGGTGCAGCTAATGACACGGACACTGAAAATGGACTCTAAGGAGAACTCAGAATACTGTGTAACTTCAGCTCCAGCCCCAGAGTTTAAACTTCATAGAAAATATCGAGACACTTTGATTTTGCATGGAAAGTCACCTGATGAATCAGAGGAATTAAAATTTGAAGAGATTCCTTCAGGTCTGTTGTTCTGTTTTTGCTCTAAATGAATGGTTGTCAACTGCTAATAACCAAAGAAAACCTGCTAGTGGGCAACAGAAGACAATGCACTCTTATTTCATTTCTCATGTCTCAGCAATGCTTACAGAAGTAAATATCTTCCTAAATAATTTTGTGTGCAAAACTGCTCTAGTTCTGGTTTACTTGGCAATGAAAGGAATGTGTGATCGATCTGTGTAATTATTAATGAAGAGAGAAAGCTGGTCTGCAATAGGATTTTTCTCCATATGACTTATATTCAAAAGCCTCTTGAGTATTTTGAAATAATATTTTTAAGGCATTCAAGCGATTTGAGAGCTGTAAAGCTTTGTGAATGATGGATAAAGCTGAAATAGTACACAAAGCATTAAACACAGTGGAGTTTTGTACGAGTATAGGCATTCATCCTTATTGCAGAACTTGGATAAGCTTCTTTTTCCTACTGATATAGGTCCAAGTATCAAACCACTCTCCTTGCTTAAGGTCTGGTTTAGACCTTATTCCAAAAAATGAGAAAAATCTATTTGCTATGACTGCACTTACTATGTAACAAGTGAAAAAGCTGAGGGTAGGTTTTGAAGTCTCAGACCTTTTTTGTGCTTATTGTTATAAATGAGGAGGATTCTACTTGTAATTAGTCTGGTGAAGGGCAAAGCAAAGGGAGAACACCTTTTTCCTGTTGGTAACTTGATTCTGCATAGCTAAAGTAAAATACATTGAAAGAGTTTGTCTCTAAACAGGTATGACAGAAGGTACAAATTTCAGTGGGTTTTTTTCTGTCCCTTTTTCTCACTCTTAAGTATTGTCTAGTGAGATTCCCCAGCTATTTACTTGATACCATTTGGGATGACAGGGCTGCTGTATTTCTAAGCTGAAACTTATTCAATTATATCAGATATTTTATTTTCAGACAGTGATCCATCCTATGAAAGGAGTGTTATTTCTGTGATTAAAAGAGCAAGCTGGTGCCCTCGGTTCCCCTTAAAAAATGACTCTCGCGTTGGCAGCTTCAGCTCAAAGGCTGTTAAGATAAACGGGCAGATGGCAGAAATGGTGCCATTAGTGCTTTACAGTCATTAAACTTTTTTTTTTTTCACATTTGCTGTAAGTACAAGTTACTGAATTATTAAAACATTTGGGTGGTGGTGTAGTAGTAGAGAATAGTACTTTTCATTCAAATAATATTTGTGATATTAGTACACAGAAACCACCTGAAAAGAAGCTGCAGGGACCTGAATTGTGCAGACTGCATTGTGTCTGCATTGACTTTGTACTGTCCAGGGTCTTAAGAGTTCCCATCTGAGTGCTTCTGATTCACCTGCACCGTGGTGGTTTGATGGCTCTCACCAGCCAGTTCTCATTAACAGTTGTTTCATGCAAATATTCAGCCTGAATCCTGTGGTAATACTTCTAGTCATCCCATATCCTTCTGCAGAGTATGAAAATTGACTGTGCTGAAAGAAATTATTACTGTATTGATTTTTTTTTATTTGTTTTAATTTTTATTAGATATGTTATCAGTTCCTGACAAGATTAGGAGAATGGTTGAAATCCTAAGATCCGATGTGGTGCAAGGATTGGGAGTGAAACTTCTTGAGAAGGCGTACAGCATCATGGAGGAAGATGATGAAGTGAAAAGAGAGGTATCTTTCATAATAAAATGGTTTAATTTCTTTGTAAACTTAGATAAATGAGCAGGGTCTTTGCTCCCTACCCCCTCCTTTTTTAGGTACTGATACAGTGGTGCAAACCTTGATTCCAAAAAGGGTTTACATAGTCATTAGCAGGCAAGGGCCCAAGTATATTGTCGTTTTCAATCTTAAAAAGCTTGATTCTGAATGTAGACTATGCTCAACCACACATTCTTCAGAAAGCACAGGAGCTTTAGAATCCCCGAGTTTGTGGAAGAACCAAGGGAAGCAAATAATTTTCCTCTGTGGTGTTTCTCCAATAATAATTTCTTTTGACCCATAATTTTTTATCTTCACATTGCTTGCCTCATGCTACTTATGTCCAAAGTGAGAAACAGTTTAATGTCCATTCCTAATAGAGGTGAATGAGCAACACCTCCAGCTCATTTGATTTAAAACTTGGTTACAAATAAAATACTGCACAGGTAAGTATAACCTCTGAAGACCTGATTTATATTTTAAGTTATCGGGTGAGATTTGGAACTCTCTCGCTTTCAGACAACAGACTCTTCCATTTTTCATCCCTCCCATCTATGATGTCGGAATTCACATGCTGCTTTCAGATGAGTGCTTCGGTTATTTTTATATCCATTTTTCATCCCTCCCATCTATGATGTCAAAATTCACATGCTGCTTTCAGATGAATGCTTCGGTTATTTTTTTTTTTTTTTTTTTTTGATGCAAATTATATCTTCAGATGTTTTTATAATGATACCATTAAATGAAATTTGTACTTATGCAGTTTACCTAGGTCTGCATCTGACTATTTCCAGGTATGTCTCCTCTTTTTCTACCTTGATATTTTGTCCAGGAAAAATTGAAGTAATGTGATGCCTGTTCAGGACTCAGATGAGTTGGTCAAGGCCATTTGCATTTTCAATCTTAAAAAGCTTGATTCTGAATGTAGACTATGCTCAACCACACATTCTTCAGAAAGCACAGGAGCTTTAGAATCCCCGAGTTTGTGGAAGAACCAAGGGAAGCAAATAATTTTCCTCTGTGGTGTTTCTCCAATAATAATTTATTTTGACCCAGAATTTTTTACCTTCACATTGCTTGCCTCGTGCTACTTATGTCCAAAGTGAGAAACAGTTTAATGTCCATTCCTAATAGAGGTGAATGAGCAACACCTCCAGCTCATTTGATTTAAAACTTGGTTACAAATAAAATACTGCACAGGTAAGTATAACCTCTGAAGACCTGATTTATATTTTAAGTTATCGGGTGAGATTTGGAACTCTCTCGCTTTCAGACAACAGACTCTTCCATTTTTCATCCCTCCCATCTATGATGTCGGAATTCACATGCTGCTTTCAGATGAGTGCTTCGGTTATTTTTATATTTTTTTTTTTTTGTTAATATTTAAGTAGTTCCTGCTTTTTTAACATCAGTAAATTTTGTGGGGCATTTTTTTGTGTGTTCTAAATAGTTGCAGTTGCGGGAGCACATGGGAGAGAAGTACGCAAGTTACGGTGCAAAGGTACGCCATCTGAAATTTCTTGAAGAAAACGTGAAGTTCTGAGCAAAACTTCTTCCCTAGAGAAAAGGACTGGTTTGTAGGTCATTTGATAGATTGGACCAGCAACAAAGCACATTTATCCATTGACCTCCTTTGCTGGAATAAGGACTTGAACTTGCAAAAAACTTTATAGTTTGTAGTAATATTTTTCATGTTAAAATGTGAACCAGGCTATCACTTTCTCAGAAGAGAAACTGTTTAGCTTATATTCTCTTAATGAAACTTCTAAAAGTTGTTTTTTATAGATGCAAAGAGGGATGGATACCAAGTTTTGTATACAAAGTGTCAAAAAAAAACAAAAAAAAAGATGGTTTGAATTCCTCATACTGAAAGGTTTTTGGTATGCTCACATACTAAATATGGTAATGAAATCTACGCGAAGGCTATGGTGTGATAAGCTATTACATCAAATAGTTGTGAAAATTTAGCAGGGAGAAACAGTTACTAATTTTTGCAGCACCAAAAGCCCTCCAGGTTCTGTAAATTGCCAAGTTAAAGTGCTAAAGGGGGCAGCTGTACTGCTTTTAAGCGCAGCCTTTGCTTTTGTGTCTTATTGCTAAGGCAGTCACTAAGGTGGTGGAAAGTATTTGGTAACTGGATAAAATAAGTCTGAAAATGTTTGAAAGGAACACAGCCACGGTTACCATGGTCCCAGCTGGAGAAATCCCTTTGCCTTACAAATACTAATTCCTTTTAGGAATGAGTGCCCAGGACCTTGGAGAAATAGGCGTCTTAGCTTTTCCCTTTCTTTGCATCTGGATTGTGTTGTGACACATGCCCAGGCATTGTCATGTACCATCACTACAGAAAAAACATGTGTTCTTTTTACAGGATAAAGAAAAGGAATTGAATTTGTAAAATAAAGTTTTAAATGCCCAACCTGTCTCTTTCCCTGCCTCTAGCTTAAATATTGTAACCTCCGGCACCTATGAGGGAGATGAACCTGACAGTAGTAAAAAAGTGCAATACCTGTGGATCCTGCTGCCTCTCACATACTTGATGCTCAAGTTGAAATGTTTCAAGAGCTATTGCATTCTGTAGTGATGTTACTTTCTCTTTAATTTAAACAAAAAAAAAAAAAGCCACTCTGTAATCTACTATCCTAGAACACTTTCCAATTCTTAGCATTTTTCAGAACTGTGGGGTATGTACTGTTTTACAGGACAAGTTAAAATCTGACACTACTGTACCTTGTTTTACATATAGAAATATTTTAGTAGAAGTCCAGCTGTGTATTACTTTTTAGGCTATGGCAACAGCTTAACTAGACTTGAATATTTTGCTGTGTTCCTTTTTAGTAAAATGCTAGAGTAAGATATGACCTCCAGCAGCCTTCTAAAGTTAATGCCCCCACCCCTTTCCTTCACAGACTTTCTTTTCCTTTCCGTGACTTCACGGAAACTCCAGCCAAAATTTAGAGAAGCCTTCGTGCTCTCTGCAGATCTTGGTGTACTCATGCTGCTATACAAAGTAGTTAGAAAAAAAAAACCCAGACACCAAGCCATGAAGTATCTGCCAGCGGAAATGCATTTAGAAAACATAACAAAGTAACAGCATGAACCACATTTTTTTTTTTAGCTTTTAGCGTCTTTTCTGCTTTCTGTCTGCTGTCTTCTTTTCTTCTGTTCCCGTCTCCTGGACAGGTAGCCAGTTCAGGGGATTGCGGCGGTACATAGGCCACGGAGGGAGTGTTAGCTTAAGGGAAAGGAATAAAGTATGTAATATGGAATAAAAATATGTAAATCAAGTTGCTAGATAAGTATTTGCACAGCTTGTTAGGAAAATCTCATTGTAGCAATTGCTACTACTGTACCAATTAGTCTTAAGAAAGTTCACACAAATTCATACTACAGAGATACACATAGTTTACATCGTATACTGCATAGTCATGCTTAAGTAAACTCTTTGCGAGGAGGAGGAGGAGGACAGCACCCACCCTGAAGAAAACAAGGATACCCCTGGACTACTGAGGTTAAGGCCAGCGTCCCACCCCCTCCGACACCTCTGTGACACCCCCCTGTTATCTGGCATCAGAGATAAGTGGCTGAAGCAAGACCGACTCCGGGGACCTTTACATCAAGTAAGAACCAGGTGGACGATGATGCCATAGAATTATAGGTGCTTTTCAAAAGAGTAGTGTGTGTGTGTGTGTGTGTTAAGTAGTGATCGGTCAAATTCTGTTGTATCTGAACACTTTAAAGGTCTAAGAACCACGTGTAAAAAAACCCTGAGTGTGGGCCAATTGGAAGGGGACACCTCATGGGAATGAACAGGGAATTACTCTTGCAATTTGCTAATTTGTGTCCCAGCCTCTCTCCTCAATCCTCGGCCAGCTGCGAAATTCTCACAAGCTGCCTCACCCTCCTTTACGTTTTCAATGGGATTCGCTTGATTTAAAAGTAAAATTTAATTCAAATGAAAAACTAACTCAAAAGCAGTATTAAATTGCAGCGTTCTCTAAAATCTTACAAGCATTTAAGAAAAGGCACTTACTGGCGTGTAAAGCACTTTCTACAAAAGTGCTATCAAAGAAAGAACAACCATTTAATAACAATCTGAATTACACAGCAAACCTTGGTCTGTGCTGGCAGCCCCTGAATTTAATGATGACTCCAGGTAAAACAGTGAATGTATTTTCTGGTTTGGGAAAAAAAATTCTTACCAAACACGATAAAGCAAATCCAGCCATAACTATGTAGACAGTCCATGCAAACTGTTCAGTTATATATCCATAGATGAAACCAATTATCTGCAAAAAAAAATAAGAATCAAACTTTAAGCAAACACACACATTTTCCCGTGCCCTGATTAAGTTAAGGGGCAGAGGGGAGAAGTAGAAAAACACAGGCTTTTCAAAAGCACAGTTCATACATCTTTCTAACGTTGTTTTCAAAATTGTAGGTCAATAATGAAAGTAAAAGATTGAAAGAAGAAAAGTCTTAATCCATGGCAGCCCCTGTAATTTTGTTTAAAGCTTGTAAGCAGATAAACCAAACAATCAGAAAAAAACCCACTTTGTAAGATCAGAAAACAAAATAAGTCCTTTATGTTATCACCCATAGTTCTAGGATACTTACTGCAGAGACAAGAATGATTCCTTGAAAAATCTGTTCTGCTAATTTTTGGCCCTTGTAGTCCTGGGGAAAGAGATAATTTTTTGTCAGTTGCCCCAAACACTACCAGTTAAACGCTTTCAGGTTAGAGCTTCGTGTCAGCCTGACCACAGGTTCTCAGCTTTTTTTGTCAGCTTTCAAGCCAGACTGGAATTATTTTTCTTACGTGTCTGGATTTAAAGTGGGAAAGAATTAAGCTCTTAATTCCCTTAGCACCTCCCCTGCAATCTTGACCATGTCACCTAAAAACAAAAGCAAGCGCTGTCCATTCAGGATGAGCAGTGCAAGCTCAGAATATGATAGAATCATAGGATGGTCAGAGTCGGAAGGGAGTTTACAAGATCATGGAGTTCCAACCCCCCTGCCTTGGGCAGAGACACCTCCCACCAGACCAGGTTGCTCCAAGCCCCATCCAGCCTGGCCTTGAACCCCTCCAGGGATGGGGCAGCCACAGCTTCTCTGGGCAACATGTACCAGTGTCTTAGCACCCTCACAGGAAAGCGTTTCTTTCTGGTGTCTAATCTAAATCTCCCCTCTTCTAATTTAAAACCGTTACCCCTTGTCCTGTCACTGCACTTCCTGACAAAGCGTCCCCCCCCAGCTCTCCTACAGCACCCTAAACCGCCACTTTTCGAGCCAAAATACGCAAATTATACGCATCCCCACAGCAGTTCCTCACGCCCAGATGTCGACACCGCACGGAGGAAGGGGAACGCTGCCACCGCCACCACCACCACCCGGGGCCGAGGGCCCGGGCCTACAGCGGCGGCCGCCCTACCATCTGCGTGGGGATGGAGCGGAAGAAGTTCAGCATGGTGGCGGCAGCGGAGAGCCGCTCTTCGCGCTCCTCGTCCCCGTAGTCGATGCCCCGCGGCGGCTGCCAGCTGTCGCCCTGCCCGGCGGCGAGTCGGTCCTCAGCGCGTCCCTCGCCGCGCTGCCGCAGGACCGGAAGGCGGCCGCTGAGGTGGCCGGAAACACCCCCGCTTCACTCCGCCCTCATCGCCGTCATCCTGAGCTGGCGATCTCCGCTCTCCCGCCTCCGCCGTTGGCTCCGCGCCGCCGCTGCCCCGGGGCTGGGTTGGGCCCGGCCTCCGCCTCCCCCGCGACCTCCCCGATAACGGCGGGCGCGGCGCAAGACGCTGTCTCCCTGACAACGGCGGCATCGAGTCTCAGGACCCCTGACTGAAGGGGCCTTCAGCCGGCAGGTGCGAGGCGCCTGCGGGCATCGCCTGCTCAGAACCGACGCTGAGTTGGTAGCCTGCGGGCTGCCCTTCCCGGCTAAGGTTCGAGCTCTGCTGACGAACCCGTCGGTAGACGCGGCCGCCCGGTCTGTGCGGCGGGACGGGCGCGGCGCCGCCTTGGCGCCCGGCGTCTATCAGGCATCGCCGCGGGCACCCCGCGGCCCTTTGGGCTGCTGAGGGTGGGTGGCGGCGGCCGCGCGGGCGGCGCGCGCTGGCGCTGCCGAGGTGGCAGTTGGCGGCGACGCGAGCGGACGGTGAGGGGAATGGCGGCGGGGTCTCGGTAGAGGCGGCCTCGGAGGAGGAGCTGCGGGGGAGCCCCCGCGCCGTAGGCGGCAGGCAGCCAGAGGGACCGCCGTGCAGCTCGAGGAGCAGGCGGTGAAACGGGGGCGTGTTGTGGGGTGAGGGGGGAGCTTCGTGTGTGGAAACCGCGTCAGCGGAGCGGCTGAGGCGGTGTAAGCGCCGAGCGGGGGCTCGAGTACGTTAGCGGGGGTTGTGCCTGCGTTGACGATAATTTCTGGCTGTAGGTGCCTTTAGCTGGGGCCGTGCGGAGTCACTGCGGGGCAGGCGCTGCCTCCGTGTGTTGCCCCCTCAGCGTCGCCGCCGCGGGGCCCGGGGAGCCCGTTAGAGACAGGCCTTGCCCTGCGCCCCCGCTGCCTGTCCCCACCGGCTCCGGTGGTGCTGCGGACACGGCGTTTGCTTGGTGCACTCCGTAAATGTATCTTCCCCACGGGAGAAGCGCAACAGCAGAGAGGAGGCTGTTACGTCCGAGCGGCGGAACAGGCACAGTTTGTGATACCTCAACTTGGAAATTTTGCTAGAGCTTTGATGTAGAACAGCCTCTGTTTCTTGAGTCTTGCCTGTTGTTCTGGTGTGTTTTCTGTGTGTTACTTGAGAGCTGTTTCACGCTCTAAGATGCGTAGTTCTTGTTCTCATTTCACAATCTCTGGTACCGTTAAATAACGAAAACGTGTGTTTGAATTGCGTACCAAAGTTGCATCAGTGATTTGAGCGTGTGGTCTTACCCTCTTCTATAACATGTTGGTAATACCTTCTTTTACACTTCTGAGATCTTTTTTTGTGTGATGATGCTTTAGCTGATATTCTGTTACACCTTATGTAGAGAATTTCATGGTATTGAAAATATATAATGCTGGTTGTTAAAATCTTATAAACAGTGTCCTGTAAAAATCTTGCAGTTAGTGAAGCACGGAAAGAAATGTATAATCATTTACCTTATTGGTGGGATGCTTCCAGATGTAGTAATAACTGTAACAATAACTTGGTTCAATGGTAAAAGAAACCCCATAAATAATTTTTGTATTGCTTTTGGTGACAGTGTGCTATGCCTTGTGCAAGCACACACTGGAAGTAGGAAGTGACTGATGTATTTTTTCTCTGGCAGGTTTGCAGGAGGCTTATGCTAATAAGTAAAATAACAAGAGCAAAATGACGTTAAGGAAAGGTATGTGCATATGTGTGTGTCTAATTTTTAAAAAATATCTTTTTAACTTTTCTGAGTTTCCCAATCTATCTCTGGTTCTATTGATAAACCTTTTTTCTTTTAATTTTTCAGTGAACATTTCCATCCTTATAGTGGCTGTTGTCATATTTTTGCTAGTTCTTCATCATAACTTTCTAGGCCTCAGTGACTTCTTGAAACGGGAGTTATCAGGTATGATGCCTTTTATTTATTTATTTTTGAAGATTGGTGGGAAAGCACAAGCTCATAATGTGTATGATAATGATCAATCATTTGCATAACAAGGTATAATTTTTGTACTCTTTCATGAGTACATCTTTTGCTGTTCTCATACCCAAGAAACTTCAACTTGGTGGGCCTGTCTGTTCTTGCTGTCCTGTGACTTTTCTCTGTCAGGAAGCCAGGTGAGATAGCAGTAAGGGTTCCTTCTGGCTATAACAGTCATTAAGATACGATTCAGTTTGTTTAAAAAAAGCCTTTTCATTTTTAGGAGTCTGCTTTTAAGAACTGCACGTGGTCCCCTAGAGCTTCTCCATGTTCCTATTGACTGCCAAGTCCCAGTTTGCTGCTCCTGGGAGCTGTTGCTCCTGGGTAGCAGTTGTACAGGTGCTTCCCAGCAGCATTTGAATAGGAGCCTGGCAGGTCTTAGCCAGGAATCGGCTGAAGTCAAAGCTGCTGAGCTCTGTCCTCAGAAAGAAGCAGAAACCCAGCTTTGTGAACAGCAGAATTTTGTCCACAAACTCACAAATCCCTGTTTGCTATGTTGCTCAAATTACCTAAAATTATCTAATATGCAATAGTCTAGGTCATCTGAAGGGTATCGGTGTTTTATAAGAAGTGCGGGTAGCGGGTAATTTGCCAGCTTTTATGGGTGATATGGTCCAATCATAAATTTAAACACTGATCTCCCATTTTCCTGCACACTATGAGTACAAATTCTTGTTGTTTCAGCTTAGATAATGTAGTGTGATCTGTGATGCCTGGAATAAACATGGGCTGGACTTAATGCCTTGATCTTCAGTGGAAAAATATTCACAACAATGACTTTAATTTAGAATTTCTTTTTACTTTGTTGGTTCCTACCTAAGAGGAAAAGAAAGTAGAAGAAAGAGAGGGAAGGGTGATGTGGAGAAGACTAGAAGGTGGTTAGGGTAAATGGGAGGGCAAAGTCAATGAGTTTATAGACATGGCAGAAGGGACCAAAGCTAATTGTGGCCTACTGGAGTTTAAGCTTCATTTTAGTACCTTGTTGTGCTGTGTGTGAATATGTATGGTTAAACTGATATAGTTTATTTGTGTGATATTTTCCTGTTCATTGACATCTTGGATTCTCAAGGGCAGGAGCTGTATTTTCATCCTGGCACGCTATGAGCCACACCTCAACTGAGACATCCAAGTGGCTGCATAGTAGAAACTATTGAAGGTGTTTGGAATTTTGGTGTGGTAATAATGTCTGTTTCATTTGCGTGAAACAAGTACGTGATGCCACTTTTTCTCCACAGATTCAAATCCATTAGGACTTCAGCCTATTGATTTCATACCTGCAGCTCCCCAGAGGCTGGCAGATGAGAGGAATGATAAGGAGATTTCTGTGGTCATTGCAGCGTCAGACGAGAGGCTTGGGGGTGCAATTGCAGCCATGAACAGTATTTACCGCAACACCAGATCCAATGTGGTTTTCCATATTGTTACTTTGAATGATACTGTGGATCACTTGAGGTAATGATCTCTTCATTAGATTCCCACAATACCTTAAAACTTAAGTATCAGTGGGAAGAGGAAGATCTGACTTTTCCTGGAACTGCACTCCTCAAAATTGTTTGCAGTTCTAGCTGCTGCTGCTTGTTGCAACTTGGTGACAAGGCTGCTATGGGGAGTCCTGTGGTCATTCCTTTGGGTAATGGCTCAGGGGTGGAAAAGAGCCATCTTTCCCAATGGGGTTGGAGTTTGTTGGTGGGCGGGTTGTAAAAGTTACTTCCTACATTTCATCTAAGCAGTTACAACACTGGCAATAAATTTTCTCCATTTTTGTGGATTGTTCTCTGATCCTTTTATTTTTACCCTCATCTGTTCACACTGATATTTTTGGAAGGACCTGTGTTAACAGGACCATATATTTCTAAAAAACTAAGAAGCAACCTACCTCTGTCACATCTGTGCATTACACTGATAGTGGGCATGTCCCTGCAGTCTTACAGGACACCACCAGCATCAGCCATAGATTACATTCTATATGTGTATTTGTTGGATAGGGAAGTGAGTGGCCAGGTCAAGATCTGTGTTGCTGTTAATTGGATCCCTTGCTTTTAGTTTGATTTTTGTCTCATTTAACAAGATCTGTGCCTTTTCTCCTGTTTGCAGGCTGTGGCTAAGTAACACTGCCCTGAAAAATTTGAGATACCGGATTTTGGATTTTGACCCTCGTGTCTTAGAAGGGAAAGTACAAGTGGATCCTCAAAAAGCAGATGCCTTAAAACCAGTGAGGATGATGCTGTTTACTGTTTGCAATTATTAGTTAGTAGCAATATATTTTGGTATCGGCTTTTAAACACAACTAGAGATCAAAATCAAATCTGTTAAGATATAAGCAATCTTTTATAATCAAACTAATAACTTTCAGTAAGAATAAATTTCCAGATAGTGAGAGGTGGATTTGAATATCTACATATGCATGCCTGATACTGTTTTTTGCTGCTAGCTACAGTGAAACACAGCAGCTTGCATGTCAAGCATGCCAACACCTCAGAGATACTACAGGCATATGTAGAGAAGTAAGAAATTCTAATGTAGACCAGTTTTAAATGTAGTTTATCAATGCACAAATTCATAGGAAACCAGGAACTGATGGAAACAGTTTACTGTAAATAACTTATAGGATATTGCTGCCTATTTTACTTCCTAGATAGAAGTTGTTTTGGGTAGAAGTGCCAGGAGTAATGGTCAATTTCACATTTATTTGGACAAATTTTCATTTAATTATTCACTTCTCTTGTTTTCTTATTTTCACAGTTAACCTTTGCAAGATTCTATTTGCCCAATTTGGTACCTCATGCAGAGAAGGTCATCTATGTGGATGATGATATCATAGTGCAAGGTATGGGACCTTTTCTTAAGCTTTGGCCACTGGCCTTGTCCAGAGGTCAATATGCTGTCTCTTACAGTAACCAAACACTTCTACTTGAAAAAGTAAGATGTAAAAAGATGTAAAAACTGTAAATATGAATGAGTTGCATTAAACTGAATGGTTTTGTCTGTTCTAGCAGTGGACTGAACAAAAAGTCACTCAGTGCTTCATCAAGATTGCTTTTAATTTTTCTGTGCTTACTTCCACTTTTCAGATGATATTCTTGAACTTTACAACACTCCCTTGAAACCTGGACACGCAGCTGCATTTTCAGATGATTGTGACTCAACCACTAACAAAGTTGCTGTCCGTGGAGCCGGCAATCAGGTTAGTTTTATTCTGATTCAGTGGTGACAATGCTATAGATCCCAGGCTTTGGAAACAGGCACTTGGTTTTATTGTTCTTGCAGGTTGACTTGCAAATGCAGTGAACCTAAAAGTGTGACTGTCCCTCCCCAAATCAATTTATGCTGATGTTTGTGTTACAAATGACACCTGCAGTTTCTGTTTAGGCACAGTAAAAACACTTTTTGCTGTGCTTTCCAATGAAAGTAATTCCCAGTATGGAACAGCAGGAGGTCTTAGAACATCAGAGGGAGAATTTTTCATTTATGAGTGTATAAAATGTACTTTTTCTGGGAGTGGTACCATATTAATAATATGGTATTATTAAGTCCATGCAGCATTCCTTAAAATATGTAGTTTCTATAATAATATTTTTAAAATGTTAGACCTCTTAAGTTTTCTTGCTCTTGTGTTAAAGGAAGGAGTATTTGCTTTAGCAACTTCAAGTTATGCTTGTCTGTTGGGGATTGTGCAAAATTTTTCTTTAAATAGCAATTTGACCATATTTCAAGCTGATTTCTGTTATCTTTTTTTTTTTTTCCCCCAGTATAATTACATTGGGTTTCTAGATTACAAAAAAGAAACCATCCGAAAGCTTGCCATGAAAGCCAACACCTGCTCTTTCAATCCAGGAGTTTTTGTCGCCAATTTGACAGAATGGAAATTACAGAACATCACTAAGCAACTGGAGAAGTGGATGGCACTTAATGTAGAGTAAGTACCCACAAGCTGGGGGTGACAGTGGATCAGGGGCTGGGTTATGGTGACAGCATCTAACTGTTAAATGAAGGACTGTGTATGTATCTGTGGATTCCTGTCATCCAGCTGCAAGTGAAAAATCAACTAATTTAGGGCCACGCAAGCATACTATCCTGACTTTGTTTTATCTTCTCTTCCAGAGAGGAACTTTACAGTAGGACTCTGGCCGGTAGCATCACGACACCTCCACTGCTAATTGTATTTTACAAGCAACATTCCAGTATTGATCCCATGTGGAACGTGCGGCATCTTGGTAAGTATGAAACATTTGTGATACTGATCCCCCAGTGTGTTTCTCTAGGTCCGTAGCTGGACACCTAGTTGATGATGCAGCTGATAAAATCATAGAATTGTCTAGGTTGGAAGGGACCTTTAAGATCACCTAGTCCAACCGATGATGATGATCTTTTCTTCCCCTATTTTATACCTTGTTCTTTAAGAAACTCTGCTTTGCAATACCAGCTTGGGGCTTGTGGGCCTGATTCTTCCTGTTCTTTGTTGAACTGCTACGGGGATAGTTCTTGAATTGACTTACACTCAAATTACCTCTCATTTTCCTTTTCTTTTTTCACATATATATTGTATCTGAAGTGATCGTAGGTGTTTCCTCCAGGATTGTTGAGAGGAACATACATTGGTATCTGTTCTGCTGCTGGTGAAACCCTATTGCTGGGAGAACTTTCTTTGTTGAACTGCTACGGGGATAGTTCTTGAATTGACTTACACTCAAATTACCTCTCATTTTCCTTTTCTTTTTTCACAAATATATTGTATCTGAAGTGATCGTAGGTGTTTCCTCCAGGATTGTTGAGAGGAACATACATTGGTATCTGTTCTGCTGCTGGTGAAACCCTAATGCTGGGAGAACTTAGGTTTTGTTTCCACTGAACAATACATAGGCTGCTGAATGCATCTGGGTATTAGGGGAGTTTTATAGAACTTGGAAGTTAAGGCAATACATTAAAATAGATACTGAGACAGATCAAAGTGGCACTCGCTTACACCCAGTTACGTTTTTTTCACTTTGTTCTGATTTCTGCCTCCCATATCACCACCTTTCTCCATAAATGACAGGATTTACTTTGTTGAAATCCTTTGTTTTGAAGTTAAAATATTGCATGTTGGTGTTTCTGCTGCCTTTATTTCAGTCACTAATGCTTCTTTTCCAATAAAAGGGTCTAGTGCTGGAAAAAGGTACTCTCCTCAGTTTGTGAAAGCTGCCAAGCTGCTTCATTGGAATGGACATTTCAAACCGTGGGGAAGAACAGCTTCATACACTGAAGTCTGGGAGAAGTGGTACATCCCTGACCCTACAGGCAAGTTCAGCCTGATCCGCAGACATTCAGAAGCCTATGAAGCAAAGTAGAGTCAATTCTAGTAACTGATGGCATTTTCTCAGGAAACCTCTGGAGCCAAGCAGAACTTTTCTTTAGCCAACTTGTATTACAGAGCAGTCCTTGCTCCCTGCCTTCTGGAGCACAAACAAGGTGACGCACTTATTCTGGTGTGGTTCTGAAACACACAGGTCCAAAGGAGACTCACCTCACTTGTGTGACAGAAGATGCTACTCCAGCAGCACTACAAAGCAAGGGAGGATCTCCACTGACTAGCACTTTTGTTAGTTCATTTTGGGCTGTTACATGTTCTTCTGCTCTTTACTACAAGTCTTCTAGAGGAAAATCAATTTGTCAGCTACAGAACGAAACAGTTTCTAAGAAAAACATACAACTTCAGCTGGTGCTTTCACCATGCAAATATTGCACAGTAATGTACTGTAATTAAGAGCTGCTTGGGTTTTGTTCTGGTGGTTTTGGTTTTGTGTTTGGTTTTTGTTTGTTTTCTTATCCTGTGAAAGTTTCAACAACCCTTTCTTGCATGAAATCTCCTCCCAACCATTTCTGTGTAAGTCTTTCTTGCAGAATTCTGCAAAATTGAATCTTGTTTTGAAAGATGAATTTTTCAAGTATTATTTCACTATGCAAAGTGGTTTTAACTGCCAGTGAACACTAAAACATTTTTGTTAAGTGGTGGAGAAAACCTTGTTGAAAAATAAAAGCTAATTTTAACATGTTGACTCAAACCTCAGGTAAATGGCATCTGATCCTAGTCTTCGTACTTAAATAGTGTCAAGTGATTAAAACTAAAGTCAATTGAACTCATATTTGCAAAAGCCATCTCATCCTAAATTGTGCAGAATGTTTACTTTGGGGATGAGGCTCTATGAATTACAGATCAATTTTGTTATTGTTAAGTTCCTCATAGTTCTCTCAAGTAAGCATGGTTCAGCCACAGAAGTTTATCCCAACACGCCTTTCCCAGTCTTTTACAGTCATCAAGCGAGATTTCAGCGCCCTTTTGCAGGTGGCTGCCCATCACCTTTTATATAGGTAAGTTGTTTTGGTTTTTTATAGTTACAGTGTTAAGTTTGAGTAGTGGTTATTGTTAGCTGATTCTTGCTGGGAGCTATTGCAGCAATTTTAATACAGGTTTGAACTCGGAGTTGTCGTTCTTATCCAGTACTGCACGTGAACAGTACTCAGTGCAGGATGTTTAAATATAATGTCTTGTGTTAATGCAGAGATGAGCTCCGTGTTCTGTGGCCCAAGGCTCAGGGTAGCACAGACCTAAAGGGCTCGTTCATGTGTATGAGTAGGGTTTTAGCACTGCTTTGTAATTTTAAAAGGGTTTCCAACTAACAGTTGCAGTCCCTGCCCATAGTTCTGTTTGTGTCACGGATGATCTGTGGTTTGTTACCTTTTATACCTTTTCCTGGGTTTTGATGAACAAGAACTATTCTTGTCCTTGAAGTGTTTAAGAGCAATGAAGTAAGTTCAGTTATCAAAGTTTGAAATATGGGACTAGATCAGCTGACTCCAACTTAGTTCTGACATCCATGCTGTGATTTAGCAGGCTTATGTGAACTGCATGTGTCTGTGTCTGCACTCGATGCTATTTTTTTAAGCTGTGTAGGACTGTTCCTCAACATACATTTAGGGAAAATATAACTATCTACTAAAGAAATCAGACCTTTAGAAGAAAACAGGTGCACAGGAGGAAGACGCTTTGTATCAGGCACTTATTCTAAATGCTTACTTCATTGAGCAGCTGCAGGGCCTCTCAGTAATTCTCTTGCTACACCAGTTCTGCTCTAGGCCCAGCACAGGAACAGGGCAACGTTTTGCTTTACAGTTACCAGTGGTTACCGTGTATAATAGGTGTCATCGGGAGATGGGTCTTTTGGTCAAGAGCACCATAAGAACAAGAGACATACCTTAGGTCTAGCTGAAATAAGTAGCATTATCCACCCAACCTTTACATGAGAAAATTCTACAAGTTCTGAAAAAGTATACAGAAAGTTTACTGGTTTAAGTTATGCTCTAGAGGCACAGTCTCTGTAATCCTCTAGGAAAAACAAATTTTATGGAGGGAGGATGAAAATTTACCTTGAAATTTAATTGCTTGAACATGACTAGAGTTAAACTTCTATCATTGTTTTTCAAAGGAAAAGACAAAGGGTTTATCTTTCTGAAACAATCTTTTTATAAGGCAAAGTAAACAGACTCACTCAGTCTATTAAGAATTTTTAAAAACAGGTGCTTTTTTAACACAGGAAATAAAAATAATCTGGAACAATCAAGAGAGATACAGTATTATATACATTATTTGACACAGTAATAATTGTGAATCTTTGCAGCAGCTCTGGTATGCAGCGTTCCTCCAGCTTTAGCCACAAAACAAGTCTTCATGACTGTTCCAAAAGCCCGTAAGAGTCTCCAAACGGTATCTTCACACATAATTCATTACACATAGTCTGTATTAAAATCGTAGGCATCGTCATCATCTGCTGTCTTATCCAAGTTGAGCGACAGTGAATTGGAATGTTCGCTTTCTGAGAAAAGAAAAGGTGTAAGTGAAACCAATGCCGGTGCCACAGTACTAGAGACTACCCTTCAAGCCAGGGGTTTCATACAGACCTGCCATCTGCTTTTCTGAATTTGTAGGACTTGTTTGTCGTTTTCCAAGCTTTGCTTTCCTCGTGGCCTGAACTTTGTTTTCCTACAAGTCAGAGAGGTGAGACGTAAGTGTTTATTTGGACATCACTAATGAAGTCTCTAATGCAAACGAAACCTAACAGGGACTGATGATAGTGTGCATGTCCCCTTGTATAGTTGACTGGGAACACGCTGCCTTAGAACTGACCTAGAACAATGTTGTTTCTTTAATTACAAAAAAAGCCCAACCCTTATCTCCAGAAGCTTTTTGATTTATCCCAGTGGCTTCACAGAGCCTACAAGTTCTGTTTACAGCAGGATACTGACTGGGTACAGGTAGAAGCAGCCTAATGAAACACTGGTTTACCTCTTTGACATTCTTTTCTTCTTCCATATCATCTTGATCGTCATCACTTTCTGTGAAATCCTCCTCTTCATCTTCCTCCTCATCCTGGTTTGTTTCCAAGTTTTCCCACTCTGATGCTTCCTCTATCACTTTGTTTTCCTCTATTATCCCATTTGTCATACCAGCTGACTGGAAAATGATGCTGCTTGCTGGACTGGGGTATTTTAAAGCTGGGAAAAACACAGGAATCGACTGTAAAGTCACTGTTAAGTCACAGCACCAGATGCAATGCTGGGTCAGGGCTAGAAAAAAGACAGTCCCGCCCCTCCCTTCCTCAAAAACTGCCACACAAGCAGGTAGAACAAAGGACAATTCTCTTAGAATAGGTTTCTGTGAGGCATCTACAGAACACTGCTAGGAGCTGAGAGACTTGGATTTGAGTATAGATTTTACTGAGTAAAATGTATTTTGTTGGCCTAATTAGCCAGTGTTTATGTGCTTTTCAACTTTCTTTTTCCCTATTTCCTATTTAGGAGGGTTAGGTCAGATAAGCAGAAACTTAAGATCTAGCAAGGGTAATTTGTGTTAAGACAGCACACAGATGCACTGTTCTGTTTCATCAGAATCTCTTTCTTTCTTAGAAGGTTGATATTCACTCCATATTGGGACAGCTATCCTATAAACCCCAGGAGGACTTCCATTCAAAATCTCCCATTAAAACTACTACTACCACTCTTAAGGGCTGCAGTGCATTACAGTGTCGGTCCTACCTTGAACAGTGTTGTTGTTTTCTTCTTCTAGGCTCTTTAAATTAAAGCACTCCTGCATTTTAGCTATTTTGTCTTCCGTAAGATATGGTGGCGGTTGATGAGATCCTGGAGGTGTTGAGTGGTAGCTTATTCTAGCTCTAGGAAAATAAAATACCAGCATTAAAAAAACAACCAAGGATAACACAGTTAAATCACTGTATTTAAAAATAAGCCCCAGAGCACAAACCTCTCAAACTCCTCAACCTAACTCCTCATTTATTATCACCTGTTTAAGAGCAGTTAAATAGCTATTTAAATTTGACTCTGAAGTTGTTATTAAGTGTACAGCCCACTCCTGAGAGGAAAAAGAAATGCCATACTTTGTCAACAAAAACTGTGCCTGTAAAATCATGAGCTGCAAAAGCAGCAGAACCACTTGAGCAAGGGAAACAGTCACCCAGTCACTAAGTTATGTTTTTTCCCACCCTCAAAATGTAGGAACCACTATAAATTTCCACAGAAAATTTGCCATATCCTTTCCTGTCTGCAGAAGAGGACTACATGGACTCAGTATTGAAAAAGAAGGCAAATTCCCTAAACAGAGTTAAACCAGGAGTCAGCAAACTGTCTATAAAATAACATGCAACATGCTTTGACACTCTGTATCCTTCACTACTTTAGAGAATTATCCATGATGCCCTTCTCTAAAAAGTCAAATGTGAGAAAGAGAGAGAAAAAAGAGGCAGCCTTTCCTTTCTAAGTACTTCTCAGGACTCGGAGCTCTGGCTGTGCTGGATTAACAATGTGAACAAGGTGAGCAGCGTAAAGCAAAATTCATGGCATACGTACCCTGTCCAGTCACAAAGCAGTATTTTAGCTATGTTCTCTACATCAGGAACACCTCCCTTTTTCAGCATACCTCTCTTCTGAGCAAGTAAAGTTAAAAACTCCTCAGTATTACTGAAATCTGGGATACTATACTGCATCATTACCTAGTGCAAAAGAAAACGGTGCATTCAGAACTTTTCTCTTAGTTTTAGGAATAAAAAAGCAAATCAAATCAGGTTACAATGAGGATGAACAAGTACATGAAGAAGCATTTTTTTATCTTGCATGTGGGAGCAAACATTACAAAGCAAAATGCCTACTTCATCAACAAATTCAACCAAACTAGTGGATGTATAGAGACAGCACGTTAGTTTGTGAAAAAACAGCACAGAACTGAATGGGAATTGGGCTTCAGTTAAACTAGAGTGAAATCAGAGTTGGATCTGAGGTCTTCACTGTAATCATAGGAAGCAGTCAGAATATCATCATTTTTCACTCTGTGATAAGATCTTAAAGCAGTGTTTTTTAAAAAATCAGAAAAGTTATTGGGAAAACAGCCTCTGGCTTACAGGATTGGGGCATGCTCTATTTGCTTTCCATTTGTAAGGATGAAAGACACTCTTAGTGTTGGACGCAGTAGCCAAAGTCTGCCACACTGCATGCTTAGGAGAAAGCAGTGCAAAAGCTACCAGAATTAGTTGAAGTGAAATGAACTTTCGTTATTGGCCTAAGAAACCTATAGAGAAGTCAAATGCAATGAGAGATGTAGAAACAGATGGAGCTCACCTGCTGTTTACTACAGTGATTCAGAATGGCATCTACTCCTTCCAGCACATCTGCTGAGCCTGATTCTTCTGTGTCTATGATACTTCTCAAGGCCAGAGCCAGGGCGTTGTTGGAAGGATCTGCAATTATACTTGGACTGTCTAAGATCTTTGTCTGTTTATCAATGTGCACAATTTGCATGGACCTATTCAGAGAGAAATGCACTGTGAGTAGATAAAGGTAATCAACTAGCAAAGAACTGTTACAGTGAGGGATGCCAGACACAAAGCTCAGTTGGACTGAATGTACTTCATGCACAGTCAGTTCCAGTGTTTTCTTGTCATATGCTTTGTGTAGGACAGAAATCTAAATGTACAAAAAGAGCAAGCTTATGCACTAT